TGAAATGATGACAGATTTTTGTTCTTTTGGAAGTGATTTTTTTTTTGTTATTATTATTATTATTTTATTTTATTTATTTATTTTTAATTATTATTTTGATATAAAATTAAAAAGTCTCAAAATTAAAGTATGTTGTAACCTGCACCTAGGCCTCACGAGCCTCACGACCCAACGACCATAGATCGACTTGTAAAGTGCATCCCCTAACCCTTCAGTTGGGGTTCGATTTCCCCTTCTCTCATAATTGTAACCTTATTTAAAAAAAAAAAAAAAAAGTATGTCGTAACCTAATATGAAAGTTGTGGGATGTCTAATACTTTCTCCATGTTTAACCAATTCTCTGAACCTAATTAATTTTTACATAAATCTTGGTGATCTATCCCACATAATTTGGATAGATACGACTCTATTTCATTTTGGCACAATCAACTCTCCAAACCTAGTTAATTTTTACATAGATCTTGATAATCTATCTCACCTCATTTAAATAAATACGACTCCATTTCATTTTGACACGCCAACATGTATCAATCATTATAAGGCTTAATGACTAAATTTAAAATCAATTAATCTCCAAATCATAAGCAATGGTTCTTTTGCTCCTCTAGGTGGTATCTCTGGATGTAGCCCTGGGCATTTGAAACCGGAATCGATGGATTAATCGAAAATTGAACTGAAAAAATGAATTCGGTTTGGTTTAAATAGTTTTTGATTTTTACTGTTTCGATTTTATATTAATCGAATAATTTTGGTTTGATTTTGGTTTAATTTTTTAAAAATAAAAAACCAAAAATAAAATCAAAATTAGGATTAAATAGATAAAATATAATAAAATATGATAAAATATAACAAAATATGATAAAATACATGATAAAATATAATTTATTATTAAAAAATAATTGATTAATATTTATTTAATAAAAACCAAAATCAAACCGATTTTATTGATAAAAATTGGTAACCGAACCGATTAATTTACAAAAATTTTGGTTTGATTTCGGTTCACAAAATTAAAACCAAATTTTTTTAGTTAATTCAAAATCGGTTTTAATTTTAAACCAAAACCGAAACCAATTTTACCCACCCCTATCTGGATCCTCCCAAGCCAGACAAACCATATACAGTGGCACTGACACCCAATAGTACTTTCACCAGTTTTAACTTCCAAGATGTAACTCTACTGCCTAGCTTTTAGACTTTATATATGCCAATATAGCAGAAGATAGACCTCTTTTTTATCATAATCTTAGTCATAACATTATCTTTATTAGCTCCATGGTAATATAAACCAATTGCTCGATAATCAAGAAACTTCAATTTTAACTTAGGCAAATGAAATAATTTTTTTACTTACGACCTCTTGGTCCGAGGGAATAGAGTTTGATTCTTCTTAAATATAGTCTTGTGATGCAGAAGTATAGAGCTCTTTTTAATAATTAATTTTATGGCTGTTTGTTTTGTTTTAAGTTTGAGTTTTATTTGAAATCTAAGTTTTAATTTTAGGAAAGTCATTTTTAATTAGGATTAGAATTAGTAGCTTATTAGAAGTTCATAGTTTATTAGAAGTTCAAATTAGAATTGAATTAGGATTTTTAACTATTATTAATATATATAGTTATTTTTCTTAGGTTTCAAAAGCAGTTTTTGTTATGAAATCTTAATTTGAGAATAAACTTGAAGTCGAAAACCTAAGTTTTCTTGGTTTCATCTTTAATTTTACGAACTTCTTAGTTTTTGTTTGTTCTACCCCTACCTTTTCTGCATCATCTCAAATTTAAATCTTATGAATGGAGGAACAGGTGCTGAAAAAGCTTTTCCCCTTACAGGGTCCAACTTAATATGACTTCATGTTAATTGGGGCCCAATGTTGTTTCCTAATACCGAGGGATTAGTACAAAAAAAGGAAACATTTTTTTAATAAATATTCAAAAATGAAAGAGTTTCATGAATAAGTGGCCTTTAATCAGCAAGAAAAAATATAGTTAAATAAAATAAGCAATTGACTTATATGAAAACAAATAGAAGAATAAGAAAGAATATTGATTGATAAGTACTGAAAAAATAAGGTAAGACTTAGCCAAAACAAAATTTAACTTTTCAAAATTGTTATAAAGATGGATCTCTTAAATCTAAGATAAAAATAGAATAAATTGTATGCACACCTCAAAATAAGGAAAATTGGAAAATCAAAAGAGCAACCCTGTAAAAAGAAAGAATGGGCTAAAATAGAAGAATCAAAGGAGAAATATAATACAAATAACATAGCTTATCAAGTTCCCCTTTCCATATCTAATGGAAATATCTTATCACTTTAGCAAATTTTCTTACATGCAACCAATCAGTTAAACAAATTAGAATATTGAAACATTAATGACTTATCATTTTCTCAATTTTTTGTGGTGTATCATATTCTAAGGAGGAAAATAGAGAAGAGCTAAATTATAACACTTCATATACTTTAATGAATGAATTAAAAACTAGAGTTTTTTATTTTAAAGTTTTGGAGATTAAATTGATTGAATTTAAAGTTTAAGAATTTAAAATAGAATTTAATAAGAGTTGAAGGTGTTTAACTAAATTATGCCAAATTGAAGACATATGGCAACATGACAACCAAGTATGTTGTCTTGAATTAAGAAAGTCTTGTGGAGCACCCGACTTCTTCTGGAACATTTTAGAAAAGGGAAATCCCTTTTGAGTTAAACTCCCGTAAGCCCATTTCCCTCTACTCTTTTGAGCGTCCACTAGGAGAGGAGGCTTTTGTATATTGCAGCATGGAGCGAACAACCTGGTGACCTTCTTCTTCAACTTCTGCTATTAATTCCTACCGTTTTCTTTAGTTTGGTGTGTGGATTTCCAAAGGTAAATATGAGTTTTAGTTATAAATTTGAGTTAGAGTTTTGATAAATTATAAATTTACTATAATATACTAAAAATTAGTTTAAATTAGAAAAATTTGACTCTAAATCCTTTGTTTAAGAGATTTTGGATATTAAAATTTTATCTAGAAATATTTAGATTTTTGGGTATATGTACAGTATAGAGTTAAAAGTGGGTTTTATTATTATACTTGAATTTCGTGTGAATTTTATTACTAAATAACTGACTATTGTGGTATTGGTGTTGCCTTATTTTGTGGGAAAATTTTTGGGAACTTGCATGAACGAACAATATATATATATATTCAGTTGGAAATTTAGGTGCTGTCTGTGGCTGCTTGTATTCAGGTTTTGTTGATTTTTCATACATTAGTTGCATTGTTAGAATAAAAAAACAATTCTGAATTTTGTGGGTGGACCTGTGAATTAGTATTGGGAATTTAAAATGAATTGCTTTAAATTGCATTTGCTTAATTGGATGATTAAGTGTTATAGTTTGTATGGCTTAATCATGTGGTTAAGCTATGTGAATTATGTGAAAATTTAAGTGGATTAATGGAGGGAATTTTATTTCTACATTATTTTTTGATGTGTTTGGAATTTCTTTGACATATGCATGTGTTTGTGGTTATGGAATAAGTGGACCTAAGTTTAAAGTTTGGGGTATTCAGTAAACCCTTCAGGGTATTTAGTAGATCTCTACGCAATAGGAGGAGTGCCATGATTAGCTCTTGTACAAATGTTGCTAGCATGTATCAATGGACTCCATAGTATTGTATGATTTTCGGTTTTATGCATTATGCTTGTAACATCACATTCATGAGCATAAGATTTTATGATATGGATTGATTAAATGTCATTGGTTATTCTTTGACATATTTGATTATCTGTGAGTTAATATGTGATATTAAAGTGTTATTTAGATAGTAGAATTTATAATATTATGTGGTTTAATTTGATTATCTGTTATGTTCTCCATGCGTGTAGGTCTTAGGACCCAAATTTGTAACTTTAACTTAATACGTACTAGACTTTTTAGCTCATGATGTCCCTCAATTTTAGATTAGTAGATTGGAGTAGCAGTCACTCAGCTTGAGAGCTTTCAGTATAAATCTCGTATGTCAACCTCAGTGCTTTTGATGTAAAAGCGAATTAATGTATTACCAAAATGATAATTTTTGCTTTTATTATTTTAGAAAGTATTTTGAAAAGAAATTGCTCTCATTTTTTTTGTATAAATTATTTTTATGTGTATGACCTTAAGATTAATTTAAATGGGCATAACCTTACTTATTTTATAACTTTGAGTAATATGATATTTTTCTGAAGATATTTTCCATTAAATTAGTTTTTTTTTACAAGTAATTAATTTTTTTTCACAAAATTAAAAAATTATTTGAAAGTGGGTTTTTTCCATAAGAAAATATTTTATATTAAAAGAATTTTTACTTCTGTTGCAATTTTTTTTTATAAATATTTCATTTTTTTTTATCTTATGTAATGCATTTTATCTTATGTAGTGTATTTCCCTATTTGATAAGCCAGAAAGTTTACCTTAGAAAGGGGATGTTATATAAATTGTTATGGAAAAAAAAAAAGAGATTAGAAAACCGTTCCTATCAGCAACTAAATTATGCAAAGTACTTGAGAAATTAAAATCTTTACCTAAAGAATTGAAATTTAATATTTGTTAATTATCTTATGATATCATCTCCCAGCTTTATGGAAAACATGTAACTACCTGCACACAAAAATTCATCAAAATAAAGTAATTAGTTTCTTTTGACGAAATTAATCAAACGTGTAAGATATGAAATATATATTAGAAGTCACCAAAAAGATTTTATTTAAACAGATACCCTAGTATGGCTTCATTAACTAGTTTGAGAAATCCTCTGTAAAAAAACATATTAGATGAAATCTAATGTAACAAAATGCGAACTCAGACGTTAAGAAGAAATCTCAAAACACTGCAAAAAGAATAAACATTTCCACATAAAAGCCTAAACAGAAAGCCAACAC